ACTAAGTCACCGCAGGAGTTGCCCACAGCAAATATGGTCAACCCCAGAATAGCATCCGATATGCCCAGGATCACCCCGAAGGCTTTGAGGACTCCGACCACTTCATTGGCGATGGTTGAGATCCATCCTATGGCCACGGCAAACCCCAAGAAGCAGAGTAGCGGCCGATATTTGGGCTCGCGATCGGGAGTGGTCAGTGATAGGAGGATAAGAAGCGATACAAGCGAAAATACCAGTGATCCCAACACCATACGAACATAAAGCTTAGTTGTATGATCGTCGTCCATGTTGGCCCAAGCAATGGTTACAACAAAGAACGGAGCCGTAAAGACTTGCAAAAACACCAACCATCTGTTCCATTCCTTTGGCCCAGCCAACTCATCCACGTTTGGCATGGGACTTTTGGCATGTTCCGACATGGATCTGGAGATTCCGGTCCCGTGCGGATGGGGGGGACCGTCAGAAGATGCCGACCGCGGATTCAAAGCAGACCCATCTGGCGCGGCCTCGATGTAGCTCATAGATCTGCGGCGAATACCATCAGCTGGGGTCAGCAGGTCGATGTCTGATTCCGCGGGCTTTTCTTCCTTAGGCTCGACGACTGGGAGGGTGATGGCAAGCAGAAAGACGCTGGGCGCGGTGACCACCCCTAATACCTTATCCGTGAACGACTTCTCCCGCCACCCATAAATGGTGGGAAACAATGTCGCACATATGACTTGAGGAGCAGGAAGGTATCGGTAAGGCCACCATGCAAATCTCCGCATGGGTTCCTCTTCGTCCGGCAGCAGCCCCAGATGTTGAGTGGACTCTGGAGACATACTGGGTGCAGGCAGGTGAATGCTTGGAGGCCGAGAAGAGAGGGGAGTGAGAAGCAATGGAGAATCCACGTATGTTGGGAAATCCTCGTGGCGCAGTGCTCCTTTTGAATGGTCTGGGTGTGGAGTATGCAGGATTGGTACTTGCAGTGTCGGTCCGGAACGAGGTGACAACACCGGGCTTCGACCAGCAGGATGATGGTCCTCGTAGTAATCCGGTCGGCGGAAGGTCGTTGCGGGCGGCGCCAAAAGATTGGGTGACTTGGAACGTTCCGAAGAGAGGGATCCTGTCTCTGATGGTTGGCCCCCTGACGGAGACACGATAAGGTTGGGAGAGGGCGGTCTTTGAGTGGATGGTTCGTTGAGCGTTCTCAGAATAGGGGCACTCGGCCTCGTACGTTTCCCAGCGGGTGCATTCGGCGTAGAATCGCCACTGCTGAGGGCATTCTCCGAGCTTCGATCGGAATGTCTGTCACTGAGAAAGTCCGTATCAATGCGCAGATGAGTGGCGTCATTCGCCGACACGGCTCGCGCACGACGCGGATTCTCAGCCTCCAAATCTGCATGTTGTGTGTTGACCAGCTCCGGGTGAGAAGCGCCAGGCGGCGCACTGACGGGAACGGGAGAGTAGACGGCTGATGCGTCGTCAGAGTATCTCCGGAGGCCAATAGGTTGGTGGGCATGGGTGGCCTTCTTCTCTAGCGAAGTCATGAGAGATCTAAATTCCAGCGCGCCTATCAAGCTCGGCCGAATGGGAGTCATCGTATTCCTCCGCTCGCCTCGAACTGGGCGGCCGACTCTCATCCTGCTTTGCAATTCAGCAAGGTATCGGTCTCGCGCTTCGTCGTCCTCGTCGAGGTCTTCAACCTTCCAGGCTGGAGTCCCGGGTGTCCGTAATGTCGGGATGGATTCGGTTGACTGCTCGCGTAACAGGCCAGTCCGCTCGGTAGCCGGGCGTGCTTCTTCGTCCTCCTCGATTTCAGGCACTTCCAGCTCCTGCGACTCTGGGATGTGGTGATGCAATCTCGCCGCAGTCTCGGCGAGCCTCCTCTTCCGTCGTCGGGTGAGCCACCAATGCCAGACCACCACAAAGAATACATAGAAAACGTAATAGGCAATCATGGTAATGGACTCCCAAAGTCGGAGGCTCCCATCCGCTAGGAATACCAGACTGAAACTCGCCGACACAGCAAAGAATCCCACGTCCCGAATGAAGCTCCTCTTGGCGACTTGAAAAGGCGCAACCAAGGCCATACTCCCTGCGACCACTGCCGTGATGAAGCTGGCTGCACCCACCAATTCCCCCACAGCCAAGCTGCCACTATTACTGCGCATGGCCGCAAACGTGGAAAAGACGTCGGGACTGCCGTTTCCAAAAGCCAGGAAAGTGACACCGGTCAAACTTTCGCTCATACCCAGTATGTTCGCAATGGTACTCAGGTTGACACAGAGGAAATCCGAGGCAGCAATGCCGATCGTACTGAAGAGGAGACTGACCCAGAGCACGAGGAACAGGAAGGCGAGTGCTTGGGCATCAGCGAGGGAGCAGTAATAGAGCTGGAGGTAGGAGAGGAGGCCGGCTTCTTCGTCAGGACAGTTTTGCTTGACAAACGTACATTTGTCTTTGGCGCTATGGACAAGTCGACACTATCAATCGACCAAACGTCAGTTGGGGAGCTGGATTGAAGGTAAATGGGGAGCTGGGTCGATCTGGTACCTCGAGGTCGCGTGATGCCAGAGAGCGGGCATCGAGCCTCTGGCCATGGGAAGAATGGCCATGATTAAAGTCTCGTACGAAGCTATAACAAGCAAAGAGAGTGATTATGAGCGCAGTTAGATAGAAGGCGCGACCTCGTTGGCGGATGGGGCGCAGTCGCTTGGGACAATTGGAGGGTGTCATGGCGGGCGTCGTAATTGCGCTGCCTCATACTGGACACAGAACGGAGCGACGGCAAAGGAGATGAGGACGATGCATGTATGTATGGATGATACGAGGGATATGTACCAAGTAAAGGTGATGGCAATACCAAGGCAGCAAGAAAACGGAGGGCAATCACCCAAGAGATAGAGATGCCATGGCCCTCACCTCGTCACTCCACTAATAATCCCACTTTTGCGGCGACAAGCACCGGCAAGAACCAAGAGGGCGAGCGGGCCAGAGGGATGCCGCCCCGAGACCTCGTCATTGTGCAGGCGTTGCACCGCCACAGATTAGCGGCGTGGTGAACAATTACCCGCCTTGCCACCTACTTATTTCGACCGAGCCATTGCTGGGCATCTCGCCATGGAGGGGCTCTAGGGGTGCTTCTAGGCCTATGTGTGCCCCTGGACCTACTGGAGGCAAGGGGCCTCCCCTCCAACCAGCAAGTGGTAACCCCAATATTATGTACCAGTACCAGTTCGGATTATCTCGGTGCGTCCCTTGCCGAGGCTCATTGTCAGGTTTGTCCGAAGCCTCTTTCACCTCTTCCCTTGGGGCATCTTCATCTCGGGCAGTTCTTAATCTCCATTGGATTTCTATGTCGCTCTTTTGTCCCTTTGCATTATGGTGCTTGCGTTGATTCTCTGAACCGGTCTCCAATTTCCCCTGGCTTCTTTACCTGTCAGGCGCGCACACCATGGTGCCTCCCACCTTCGCAGATGTCCTTCCTATTAAGCAGCTCTCGTCACACCAATATGCCCTCACCTTGGAAAATGAATGGTGTATAGGAACGGGTAGGATGCAAGAATCCTCTGTCGTCCTCATTGAATGATAACCCTTCTTTAGTGCCCAATGGCGGTTATGTGACTTCAGCCTTCCTCATGGTTGCGCGCACCCACATGTTCCTCACCCATCGTACTCGCTCTGGACCACACCCTATCAATTTACATCTGGAATTTTTGCGCCGTACCTCTGTTGGCCCAGCAATCTTCACTGTGAAAGACGTTAAATTGGGTGCACGTATCAGCAATTTACACGTCGTTCTGGCTCAGAAACAAGAGCACAACGATCAGTGGCAGGACGAGGCGCAGGGCTATGTAACCATGAGCAACATTGCGACCGAGGAAGGCCTGAGCCTTGACACTCAATATCAGCTCTGGCCCCCGCCTTTACCTGTGGATCTCTCACTTTTGAGTGCACAAGGCCATGATACAAACTATACTATTCGTGCGAACGATCCCTTCCCTTCGTTCCGCCGCGCCGCACAAAATATCCAGATATTCCTCGTCCAGCCTGATCGCCGACCACAACCGGGACAGTCTGGGAGACCCCGAGCAATAGTTGACCAGTGGGTTCGGTTTGCGCCTAAAACGCCTTCTCTCAATCTCGACTGGAATATGACGGGCCGCTGGACCAACGACGCTCTCGGTTTTCTGGTCGACATGTTTCCACAAATTGTCGAGTCATACGTCAACCCCTTCGTCGAGGAGGCCGCGATCGGCCAATACAGCGAATCCGAACTCAAGAATTTCCTGGAATCGAACGAACCGCGTGCCAAGTTTTGGTATCCGACGCTCGCCTTGAACCTGGATGTTAAAAAACTATTGCCAGAGGAGGGCGTGGAGTGGCTATTTGTGCGAGTGACGGCCAAGGCGATTAGGAATGGACGGTTTGATCTGAACATCGAGGTTTGGGATGAAGCTGGGGAACTGGTGGCGAGCAGTACCCATGCGAGTCTGATTGTGGACGCCAGTCGTAATATTACCAGAAAAGGCAAGGAAAAGAAAGACACAAAGCTATAGGACTGTATCATCTTTTTGAGGTTTGCAGGTTCGGCGCCCTATTAGGAAGGCCACCTTTGGGAGAAGCAGTTGGAGCCAGGGATAGACATAGACGTGAGAAGAACTTGGCATGTTGGCGCGGTCAAGCCAAACGCTTTAGTCAAAGGTAGTTTGACAAAGCGCTGTCGAATATTTTGCGAACAAGATAGTACCGCGTTATGGTTGACAAGTGGTGGTGTACTGGGTATTAGCAAGCGTCGACATCTGATACCCCTGCCAAGGCGCTAGTTGTCATCCAAGCATCGCCAAGTCTTGCTAAATACCGAGTATGTTTTGGGTGGATCACGTCCTGATCTCCTGCTGCCTAAAAAGAACATTAACGACAGCATACTATTACTCCGTACCTGTGGATAGCCTCGGAAGGATCCTCTCAGTGTGACTGCCAGCATCATTGCTATCCTCGACTTGACCGGAACATTGATGAAATATGTCAACGAGGTGCGACATGCCCCAAAACAGCGAGCTCAGCTTGCGCACGAGGCGAGCAATCTGTATGCCTTGCTCACAACTCTTCGCTTTCGAGTGGAAGACGCTCCTACAAATGAACCATGGTTCTATCAGATCAAACTTCTAGCGGTTCGAGAACGGTGCCCTCAGCCAACTCTGAACAATCCTCACGAGGCTAGTCTCTAGGATTGATTTTTCAAACAAGTTGAAAGACCTGCTATGGAAATTCAAGAAGGCGGAGATTGATGAAGTGCTCGGTCGGATAGAGTGTCTGAAGTCACCGACCAACCTCGCTTTGACCAACGATCTCGTGATTCCGACCCAGTCCGTCACGAGTGATCTATCCGAAACGGCACAAACCATGAACGCCTTGTGTCTCGAATCTGAGAGTCAATGGCCGTCGAAGTTGTCCACTTGGCTTGACATTCCTGATCCGTCCTCAAACTTTGCAACATCGAGCAAGCGAAGGCAACAGGGTACTGGCTCTTGACTTCTACAAGACAATCGCTTCATCGCCTGGAAGGAGTCTGCAGGCTCGAGTCTGTGGCTTTACGGCATCCCTGGTTGCGGGAAGACTGTTCTTAGTGCCACAATCATCGACCAAGCTCTGGACATGGCTCATTCGAGCGTGATATACTTCCACTTCGACTTCAATGATGATCGAAAGAGAAAGGTTAACATGGTCCTTCGGTTTTTGATCATGCAGCTGGCCAAGCAAGTGTCAAACGGCATTTAGGAGGTTCGGAATCTGCATTTCGAATGTCGAGATGGTCAGCTACACCCCCAAGAATTTGCCTAGCTTAAAATTACGGACCGCTTGGTCGGAAGATCTCACAATACTTACGCCATATTTGATGCCCTGGACCAGAGTGACGGTTATCAAGACGTCGTGGACCTGATCCAAAAAGCCGACTCAAAGCCATCGAAATTCTCTGCACCTCTTAGCTACAAGCCGCCCCGAACGGGAACTCGAAAACCGACTACGACCTCTGATTACTGCCGATATTGCTGTAAAGGCCGCGCTTGTCAACGTGGATATTATTTACCTCGAAGATCTTCTCAAGAATGACGTCCACCTTCGGAAATGACCCGCAGATGTGCAAAGCGAGATAAAACGGACTATCTCGGAGGAGGCCAATGGAATGTACGGGCTGCTTCTGGCACCGCAAATGTGAGGCTAACTTTCTGTCTGAGGTTCAGATGGGCATACTGCCAGCTTGACTCTCTTCGGAAATGCATCAAACTCGGTGCAGTGAGGCAAATGCTTTCGACCTCCCTAAAACACTAGACGAAACATACGAGAGGATACTGCGCATGATCGAGACGAATGATCAGCTGAATGACGCCGTGCGTATTCTTCAATGGCTTTGCTTCGCCAAGGCCCCGCGAAGTCTGAAATCGTTGATGGACGTGCTTGCTACCGACGTAGAAGGTAACGGCCGCTTCTTGGTGGAGGAGCGACTTCCGGACCCTTACGACATCGTTACTATCTACTCTAGTCTAGTTGCGATTCAAGAGCAAGACGCCCAAAGTATCCGATCGTTTGATCCCATCCTGGATCTCGAGGACCCTATCATTGAATTGGCACATTTTTCGGTCCAGGAGTATTTGCTGTCTGACCGCTGTTTCTCACACAGTTTCTTCTCTACAAACGCAGGTTATACATTGATGGCTGAAATATCATTGATTTATACGCTTCATCTGTGCCACGAGGCTCTCCCTCGGGATGGATCTCAAACTGCGGACGGGAAACGGAATGCAAGGTCAGATCTGAATCTTATGCACGCCACCGATACAGATTTGCGACGGGAGTCGCTCACGTTGTGGCCAACTAATCTCGTACGCTGCCGCGTTCAGAGGTGATACAAAAGTCACCCAAGTGATTCTGAAGAATGGGGGAATAGTCAAACAGCGACATGAAATAGCCGGAACTCCGCTTCAATTAGCTTCTTCTGCGATAAACTTGAACATGGTACGACTATTTCTTGCAGCCAGTGCATGTTTGTCAAAATCATCGCAACCCTGGAGATTCAGTTTTACTCTCGGGGCATGGTTGCAGCTGAGCGGCACGGAGCTCGATTCGATGCGGCGTGCTTTGGGGGCAGTGTCGAAATCTTCAGAGCCCTTTTCGAGGCCGATGATAGTTTGCTGACCAAGGTCGCCCCCAAGTTGCTATCTCCAGTGTCCGAGGGTCTCCGGTACAAAATAGCAGGATGGCGAGATATCGAACTTGCAGGGGAAGAAAACTTAGCCGACCATGGTCAGGTCGTACGTCTGCTTTTGTCCCATTGTCTCGATGAATACCAAGGCCTCTCATATGCTTATGACGGTGCACACGCTGAGTTATTAGATCTGCTCTAAGACGCCAGAGTCTCGCCTAACTCGCCAAACAAATGGGGCGACACTTCGCTGCATCGAGCTTTACTCGACTCCGCCCCAGTTCAATTTGATACCTTGATGAAATATAGTGCCGATATCGCCACTCTCGATTGCTATGGACGCAGCTGTTTCGATTATTGCCTGGGGTATTCCGCGGGGAAATTACTAGGGTTCAATATTTTGCCAGTTGACCACAGTTCGACCAGGATTGATGTCCAGAAACAGCGCCTTCGTCGCACGGTTATGTTAAGCATTGAGACGGCCCTGGAGGGTGGACCTGGTGGAAAGCATGTTGCTCTGAATCGGCTGGGTCACTGTCTTGCACACTTAGAGTGGTTAGAGGAAGCCATCTCAGTCTTTCAGATGGACGTTTTGTGCAGTGACAGGGAGGATGCCAGACGAATCTGCGACGGCTTCGAAGGGTCTGTCAAATGGTAAGATGACCCGCGAATCTCGAGATTGTGTCGTTCCTGCAGATATGTCGACCTCTGCGAAGAATGTTTTGAGGACTACGAAAGAGGGCGGCTGGGTATATACCTGTGTCAAGGCCATCAGTTTTCGGAAGTGCCCCTGCGTCCATTTGACGAGGAATACAACCACGCGGAATCTCCCGTGACACAGAAGATCAAAGACTGGCTGCTTGAATTGAAGCAAAAGGTCTCGCAGGAACTACCGGAAGACAGCTCCCTTGATATAACCAGCGGGATACCAAAAGGATGAATCCCTTGGAGGAGCTTGTTGTGAATGTGTACGTCTTTTCAAAAGCCAAGTGGCGTGAAAAAGAGAGGGTTTGAATTCAGCAATTGTGGGTGTCATGGGCTGTGCGATCGGAGTCGCAGCGTTATCGGCGTTGTAGGACTCTTTCAAGCCAGGCTGGTCTGCGATACATCTCACCATCTAATCCCAGGAAGTGGGATGCTTCTCGAAGAAGATGCTTGCGAACATACTACCGTGAGTATGTTAGGCACACGGCGAAGGTTGTGCGACTCCGCGGAGAGCACCCCTTATCAATGCATGCAACCTCTCTTTCCATCTCTCTCATGCTCCAAGGTTCTTTTCGCACAACCGCAATCTTCTCCCTTGAACTTTTCTTTTGCTGGAATCAAAATTTCTCCCTTGCGGGCCTCATATCCAACTCATGAACCCACAAATCGCAGCTCTGCCGCATGCAGTCCAGGTACAATCTGCCCACACTTTCGGCACGGATTCTCTCTCCCAGCATGACTTTGGCCATTTTATCTTTCGCCTCCGCCTCTGTCTCCCCGCCGTTTTCGGTAGACAAATCGGTATCGACGATGCCGCCGTTGGCAATAGCGTGGACAACGTGGATACCCTTGGCAGAGTACTCCCTTGCCAGACTCTGCGCCAGCATCCTCACGCCCGCCCTTCCGGCCCCGTAGGCGGCGTACCCCGGATTGGTCCTCAAAGCGCCCAAGGTGCCCGTGAAAATCAGCGTTCCTTTCTTGATCATCTCCTCTCCCCCACTTTCTAGGCTCTTCTCCACGTCCTTTGGGTGCTGGGCCAGCATCCATTTGAGACAAAGCTGGCTGAACACCATGGCCCCGGTGACGTAGATCTGCAAACTATCGCCGAAGCGCTGGGCGGACTCGTCCTCGAAGGGCGTCTTGTGCGAGTGTTTGATGCTCCAGACGGCCAGTTTCAACTTCATTTCCTTGCCCAGCGATTCGGACCATTGCTTGATCTCGTCGAATGCGTTGTTCAAGCTCAGTTCCGAGGTATCGGTTTTGAATGCTTTGAGCACGCCGCCGTTGGATTCGCGCGACAAGCGTTCAGCGAGCTGGACGTCGCCGCTGCGCGAGAGTAAGGCGACGGCGAGGTTCCCTTGGGATGGCCGGGCGAGGACCCGAGCGATACCGGAGCCCGTTGTGGGGCCGGCGCCGAGCAGGATGGCGAGACCTGTTGGAGGCATTCCTTTTTTTCCCCTATGATGATTTGTTTCGACTACAGAGATAGGTATGGTTTGTTTGACGGGAGAATGTAGTGAGGGAAGAATGGATGAAAGTCAGCTCTTTGATGTTGAAGGGTCAAGCGCATTAACAATACTAAATCCAACGTCACCGATTTCTGAAGTATTGGAGAAAAGGTTGGAAGCTAAAGTTGGGGAAGTCTCTGGGAAGCCTCCTCGTGTCCACACGATGGACATCGGGAATCCGGCCGTCGCACATCCACCATGCTTAAGATTTGGTTTACTGTTACGCCTAGCTCTACAATAGCTGGACTATGTCTAGGGGGTTTATCTAGATCGGTAGGGGAGCGTTAAGTTGTCAGTCCAAATGCAGTGGATAAAAATGACTGCGTAGTACTTGTCCATGGGGCGATAGAGAGCAGCACCATATACTTCTGCAATGATTCCGAGATTCCTTAGGAAGAGCGAAGGCGAGGCTTTTTGATACTGTATCAACGGCCTTGGCGCTGTGTTGTTGCATTGCACTCGTACTCAAACTAACTCTAATACTGGTTAGCGGTGTATGGGGCCACAGCCTTGGAGCCTAACCGAGCTCCAGGCTCGCACGAAGAGCATCGGACCAAACCTCATGCCCATCGTCCAGCCAAGCATACTCATGGACCAGCCTTCTCGATCCATCAACTGCATATTCAAATCTGCTCAGATCGAGAGCCTGACGCTGTTTCCCGGTCGGCGTTTCACGGCCCACAAGACTGACAAAAGCAAAGCGGCGCTCTTCTGGTGGCAGCAGGCCAGTATAGTGGGACTGTGGCGAGTCCTTTGAGGAAGAGAGATGACCTTCACCCTCCTCGGCCGAAATCACCGTGGCAACCACACGGTCAGGCGCGACGAATGCCCAGGAGTTGTCTTGCTTTGGAGCCTGACGCATGAGACGTAGCGCAGCTCGTCTCAGCATCGGGTCTCGGCATTTGGTCGCACAGAAGTATAATGGTGGGATGAATCCCGGGTCGAACCTCGACATTAGCAACTGAGCCTTTGTCGGTTGGGTGGTCTGCCCGAGACAAAGCGTGGCGTGCTCAATGATTTCCGCAAAGTGGTCCATGTAGGCATCGAAGATGGTCTGGTGGGGGCTGACGCATGTTGCCACGGATATGTAGCAGACTGCCCAATACATCAAAAGATACGAACATATTAAGGAGCCCTCCGGATCCGGCGTCTGGCTTTTTGTAGCAGTAAAGGAGGCTTTCCATTGCAACAACTCCTCCAATAACGACAGGCGTTGTGACAAGTACTGGACCTTCCGCGGCTCATCATCGTCAATGTGAGGAAGGAAGTCCGCATGCCTGATCGCTTCGTACGACTGGTTCATCAGACTATCAAATTGAACCCTAGCCTCGCTGAGCAGAGGAGACCTGGACAGTGCTGTCTCGAAGAGATTGCTGCTCTCGTTGTTCGCAACGTGGTGAGGCGATAGAGAGCTTCGGAAGGTGGCAAGCACAATGGTCTTTTTCAAAACGTATGATGCTACCATTTGGTGAACGGCTTGACCTGAGGCCGAGTTCGGTCGGGTATCAAGCGACCTCAGATTGTCGGTGAGAATTCTGGAACATCTTTTCATCAAATCGTTCGCAATCATGACATTTCGATGATGGTATTCCACCGATGCGAATAGTAGATAGCTCAAGGCGACAACAGAATCATCTATTTGCCCAAGCTCGGCCAGCCGTCGAACGCTCACAATCGCTTTGTGGTAGAACCTCAGTGCCTGTCGGTGCATTTGGTTGGTGGCTTTTGTCAGACCTGTTCGGTCAGATGCGGCAGTCGGCGACACATATGGCACGTGTTCTGTTAGGGAGCTGAGGCACACAACAGTGTCCCAGACAAAGCTATATGCCTGGGCGAGTCGAGGGACGTGGTCCTGCCAAAAGGTAGTTTCGACGGTCCCCGCAAACGCGGGTGCTGCGCCATACATGAAGTAATGCCATGCACGCCGTTCGTCCTCAGCATGATGCGGAGCGAGAAGAGAGACCACCCGCGACGGACTTGGAGTGGTCGCTTGGCTGACCGTTTTATTCTGGATGAAGCGGATTTCGCGAACAACTGGGCCTTCGCACTTGCGGCCCGTTTCGGTACATCTCCGACAATACGGTTTTGTTTCGTCGCATTTGACTCTTCGAATTCTAGCCTGTGTCAGCTTCATGCAGGAACAATCGTACAGGGAATCATACTTGCAGGTTAAGCATCCATTTCTGGACTTCTCGTGACTTGCACGTCGTGGTTGCATCTCGCTGTTAATGCGGAGTATTTATTGGCTTCGCTAGGACTCTTGCATAAGCTCAATTCGGAAGACATGACTGTCATATCACTAATGCCCCGACATGCAAGGACTCACGAACAGGGGGCTCAAATAAGGGGCGTCCGCCACATACCAAGTCATGCCTCATTCCAGGCCGCTGCGACCTTTCTCAAGCAACAAATCCTTAGTCAGTCTCATTCAGATCAGTCTCGAGACCAACTGGTGCGATCTTTGATCTCGTATAGAGAATAGGATTAGAACGGTGGTGAAAGCAGGACAGACAAAATTGCTCGAGGTGCTCGGTTGGTATCTCGAGTGAATCCACAGCCTTACCCCGTATCCATCGATGATTGGCAAGCTCGTTTACTCGAGCTCTTTGGGCTTAGTCTTCAGGCCTTATGGAAGCAAAGAGGCAAGTGAGCCGAATCACATGTACTCCATCTGGCCAAATCTGGCCAACCAGCTTCGTCAGGTGACAAAAGGGGCAGAGCGTTATGTCACACCTCCCTTGATCACGTTACAAACCTGTTCAGCCTCGCCCCTGATCTTGACCTGCGCAAAGTCCACCTCTCTTTTCATTCCTGAGCCCTGAGCAATCCTATCTGAGCTGTGACTGTGTAGTCCTGAGCATGGCTTGGCAAACCCTCAGACCTCTTCCGCAGAGGATGAGCATTGTCTGAACACTTTGTGGGACGTTATATGGCACCCCAAGTTCTCAGGATTTGGTGTCTCAAATGCTCTGAAGGGTCCTATTTCGCTGTCATCAGGTGGTTATAATTTCCAGAAATTTCGCGAGCCGTGGACCTTGGCATCTTCATCAAGTACCTCGGTCTCTCAGTGAGCACCTTCGGCACCTCCTGGAAGGTTTGACCTTTTGCACCTTTTACAACCCGTCCCAGGAATCTCCCGCAGTATCTGGAGATATCGTACTTTCTCTTGCGGTGCCCTGAAAGGCGTGTTCGTATTTTTCAACCATGCCAGGAGCATCTTGGAAAGCGTCGCTGCCCGTATTCGGCACTCTTCGTCCCCAGTCTGCAGCAATGTAATTGCAATGTCCGTGGCCCCGTGGGACCAGGACATCTCATGGCGTTCGTAATGGAAATACGCAACAGCTCTTGCAGAATATGCCAATGCGTGAGTCACGAGACTCCAATGCACATCTCCTTTCGTGGCCATCCTTTCAACTTCCTCTTTCGCATCTTGGAACAGCGACATGGCGATTGATCTGGCTAGGTCCCTCTGGCAGCAGACATAATAAGCTGCATAGACATGACAATACGACAGGGTGATTGCCGTTTCAGCGTTATAAATTTGACCATTGGAGTATTTCGAGCTGATGTACCAGAACTTCCACAGAAAACCGGCCGGGTCTCGGTTGTCGCCCCCAATATCGATAAAACACTGACCACATACGAAGAACCATGGTATTCTCATCACCGATGAACTGTTTCAAGACTTTAATCGACATCCAAAAGCCCAGCCGGAGTGTATTCATGAGCTCTTTTGGCGGCACATTTCTGATGGCGGTCACCAGAACCGCCAACGGATGTCTCTGGCCATTGCGCTCCAGTATGGTTCCAATGAGGCTATCGAAGAATCTCTTCAGACACGCACCTCCGGGGATGCGCCCGTCGATGCTTTTTATTCCAAGACAGATCCGCCAGAATTGTGCCAAGAAGGATGGGTCAAGATGCTTAGCCGCCTGTCTAAGTCCATGAAAGAACCGGTCCGGCGTCGCTTCGTCTCTGTCAATAGTCCCGGATTGGAGGAGAGCAGAGGCTCTATGGACTTGGTCCGAGAGTGTCTGCCAAGCTGACGTGCGGGCTGAAACACCGGTGGGATGTATGAATTCAAACATGCTGGCGGACCAGCAGGAGTCTTTCCCCCTCGAGGATCAAGTGTCCCATCAAGATAATTGTGAATGGAGACAAATACACAAATTTGATGCTCGTGTTGCTTCGGCGATATCTCCTTTGGTATGGTTCCGGAATAAGTAAATTCATTTGCTGATGCAATGACTATCTCGATCGCGCTGACTGGATGTATAGCCGTTGCGCGCCGTCTTGACCTTTCCTTTCCACGAGGCCTTTTGTCCGCCTTATTCTTTCTGATGCCGAAGAAGGACAATTTCTTCTTTTACAGTTTTTTCTCTGCGCAGCCGTTACTGGATTATCATCATCTCTTAAATCGCACCGGCCTGGAAAAAGCAATCCAAGGCCTCAAGAGGGGCCCAAAAACATGGAAGGAGGAGGAATTTAAGACTTATACGAACGTTCTGCGAAAATGATAGAAGCACCATATTATGTCCATGACTATCCGCAGTTTGATATTGTCATGGCAATACAGCTGAGCGAGTTTTTCGCGAAAATCCTTCCATGCCCACCCTCTTTGAGATACAGCGTTACCACTGGGGTCAGACATGGTCTTCGACGAGCGACGAGCCTTCGGTCTACGGGGATAAAGTCTCCCGGCTTGCTGATTATGCAAGTTATACCAAGACCCGCAGAAGTGAGCTCATGGAATTCCTGTGAAATAAGGCTGGCGGTTCAGGATGTCACCGAGGGGGGTGGGCCAAGGACAGGTTGCGAAGTGACATGGGATATATCTGAACTACCGCGCCTCACGGAAAAGAGCCACCCAGCTCAACAAGCACGACAAGGCGAACTTGACAGCTCGTGTTTGTGAGTGGCCAGATCACTATAGTCCACCTGTTCAGTGAACGAATAATAGTAAAAAAGACCGCTGAGTCAAGATGCATCATTCGGATTATCGACCAATCGACAGCATTCGAGAGGGTGGCAGCCTCTCAAGTGGATCCTCTTTATGAAACGCTGCTCTTCAATTGCACTACACAATCCAACCGTGCACTCGCTATAGTACGGACTGGCCATGTTAACTGGTCCAGCGACTCACAACGCGACTGATGGTCCACCCAGGCCCGACCTGCTTCTCCCTCTCCCTCCCCGAAGTGCTACCACACTCATTATCATGAACGAGATTATTTAGACGACTCTGGACTATTTCAGGTCCGCTTCCGTAATCAGGACAGAACGAAGTCAAGCCACCCAAAGCCGAAGTATCATCAGAGGTGCGAAATGTTGTACACTACTTGATAGGTCAACAGCAACTACTCCGATACCCCTTTCACCATACCAAGGCGAAGGTCGAGGGCTGGAAGGAAATCGCCTTTTACGTTTGTTATGTTGTACGAATCGTTGTGCTCCGGCGAACTATGTCGTTACTAGCCTGACGTCGTTATCTTACCAGGCGTCTGCAATATCCTCGACCGTCACCACGTCTGTTCACCTTACGTCTTTGCTTCAGACCTAAATGCCCGCCATGTTGCTCAAGCTGCCAATATCAACCATAACCTTCCCGTCCACCTTCTTGGGTTGCTCCTCCCCGATCATCATAATGGCCGTCTCACGTTTGAGGAATTTCTTTTCATCTGGAACCACCGCTCGGAGATAGTCTTCGTCTGCAAAAACATACACATACCTCTCAGTTGAAATATTCCAACGATGTTTTAGGGCCACCTTACGCTCAACAGTTCGTCCATGCTTTCGGCAGCCATGGTGACGATGCCATCCCATTGGCCAATCTTCTTCCTGACAATCTCCTTGTTCAGCCAGATTTTGAGATGTTCCACCGCCCAACTGTGAAACCTCAGCAAAACGGTCCTTCTCATATCTCTTGGGCACGTTTTACTAATGGTGAAAGTCCTCGTCACTGAGGTGATCCTGCTTATTGATGAGGATTTGCAGTTTGCAAGGCATGCTTGTAAGATTGTCTTCGGGCAAAGAGGACTCTACAGAGGTGGGTGATTGAGATTGTTACAGCTAAGGGCAATAAGCGCTATTATACCTTCCATATACTGGATGGAAGACACAAACCTAGACTGCTCAGTCGGCACGCTGCATGCGACTCTGACAGGAGTAATCTTGGGAACTCCCGACGCAAAGTACCGTCATCGGAAGCCCTCCACCCTCCGCAAATGACTCCGCCTTCTCAAGAAGCGCAAAGAATAGGCAGTCATTCTAGAATACTCACATATCTGGGGATCTGGGTGTTCATGGGGTTGGGCCCTTCGGTTCCCGGATCCGAGAATCGCTAAGCGGGAGGCCTAATCAATGCTCGAGACTATCCGCGACAAGTCCAACATACACTGACTATAGAAAGGTTTGAGCAGCCGAAGATAATTGCAAAATATGCTCCGCTAGCATACGAAGCATATTGAAAGCACTAGCGCTTCGTTCCTACATCATAATCTAAGTCGACAGTAATAGCGACCGAAGAAGTTGTAAGTCACCACCAAGTCCGGCATATCAACTTGCTAATCATCAGATAGTACAATATGCTCCGTGACAAGCTCGGGGAGAGCAAGATCGCAAAGCCCAAAGCCGGGGAGCTGAAATACTTCAATGCACAGTCGGCTGCACTCGTTTCCGCCGTCCAAGTGTTTCCGGAAAACGCAAAGGAAATCTCAACTGTACTCCAGGTCGTGCAGGATCTCCAGACCTCTTTTGCCGTGAAGGCTGGTGGACACGGAGTAAAGGCCGGCGCATCGAGCATTGAGGGCGGTGTCCTGACTGACTTGAGCGAATAAACGCAGTGGAGGTCGCTCCTGACCGTAGGTCCGGTGTCCTTAGGGGCGGAGGCGAAGTGGGTTGACGTTTACGGCAAACTTGATCAAATGGGCATCAGCGTACCTGGAGGACGTATTTCGACGGTGGGTGTTGGCGGCCTGACACTTGGAGGTGAGATACCACGATTACAACAACGTCGAATATGTCTCAGTTGAAACTGGCAGGTGGGATCTCCCTCGCGGCCAGCCGGTACGGCCTTGCATGCAATAACGTCAAAGGCTATGAGGTACACCATGTCTTGCCGATGCCGCATGGCGCAAACATTACTGACAGGGGAAAACACAGGTAGTTCTCGCCGACGGGAAAATAGTATCTGTCACGCGCGAAACTCTCCCAGATCTCTTCTGGGCACTCCGCGGCGGAGGGACGAATTCGGGGTCGTGACGACGTTCGAATTCGTAGCATTCGAACGGAGCCAGATCTGGGGTGGTGTGAAGCAATATCTTGAGGACTCGGAGACGCCAGCAATCGCTTTGCTTGACGCGTTCTGTAAAAGCCAAGATCTGTCGTCGTCGTCGTTTGCGGACGCCTACGCCGAGGCCTTCATCATCGCCGCCTACGTCGCTCCCATGGCCAAATTCATCACCACGGCGGTTTCGTCCCACGGCAAACCCGAGGACGATCCTCCCGTGTTTGGCGGATTCACGGCGTTACCGTCTATCGCTTCGTCGACGAAGATTCGAAGCATAGCTGACCTTGCAGTAGAATTGAATGCGAACAATCCGCACAGGCTCAGGTATGATGTTCATCATGGCATTCTAACTGGCATCATATGTGGTAGACTCACTTGCTGACTTGAGGTCTGAGGGTCGAAGACACTGGCGTTGACTGTGAAAAGCAACGCTGAGATCCGCACCGGCGTCCTGGCGATCTATAAAGACGTAATCAGCCCACACAAAGACACCGTCAAGAACTTTGTGCCTGCGATCTTGCTTCAACCTCTGCTTCCACGGATGCTACCGGCCTCCGGGAGCGAACATACGCTGGGGCTCACCAGAGAAGACGGACCACCGTTTGGTAAGTAACCACTCTCCATCTCTGGTGTGCAATCACCCACGCCACGAAGACAAACTCGCCATTTCGTTGAAAAGTGGTATCCCTGCTCTGGTCCTGGACCGAACCATCAGCTGACGCCCTTATCGGATCCCTCGCGCGTGCTTTCACACAGCGGGTGACGGCGACGGCGACAGCCCAGGACAAGTCCACCGCTACGTCTACCTCACCTACGCGGCGGGTGATCAGGACGTGTTCGCGAGCTACGGCCAGGACAACCTGGAGAGGTTGCTAGGGAGTATGACCCGAACGAGGTCTTCTCCAAGTTGAGGCCTGGGTATATCAAGGTGCCGAGGGGCCGGCAGCCAGATGGGGTGCATGACTTTCTTGGGAATTGTGAGGGGTTTACCTCATAGAAACTTGGAGACTGGAAACACTGAAAGGGCACTGGGAGCAGCCCCATGGGATAAAGTAAAAGGAAAAATCAAACCTGAAGTATAAATATTCCGCCTCATTAGTCGTTTCTTCCTGGAATATCCAAGTTCATCTCCTAACTAATAAGATGGATCGAAATTCTCTGGGCTCAAGGGTAATACGTGGAGGAAGACGTTGAAAACTTCCTATCCGACACCAGTGTTAGGAATGGGTTTCCGTTGACTGTTTTGACGCTCTTTCTCCTCGCGATTTCAAGGGGGACGAAGCCCACGGAGTGACAGTAAGTAGAGCGTCCATTCTGGAAGCTCCAGAATGCCGGAAGAAGCGGCTCGAGGAAAAGAATTGCTTATGTCCAAGACAATGTTTGACCGGGTTGTACATAGACTGCCAGTCTATCTTCTCTTCCCTGGTCCTTCTTCCAAGCTCCTTACGTGCCTCCCGACTCAATATCCTCCTTGTAGTATCCGTGCGCACCCAATTCCCTGTCTCCGACATTGGCCGGCTTCGCAGCTGCTCGATGACAGCGCCACAGGTCAGCGAGATGAACGACAGCAACATCAACCCTCAGAATCAAGAGGGGGAAGAGGATTTTTGGGGACACGCGTACCAACCAAGCAAAAGCAAAGCCTTGCCGGTGTCGTGCCTGTGTTCGTCCACCCATGAATCGTGCCCCACTGGACACACACGTCGCCGGGCTTCATGTCGACTCTGGCGCTGTCATCCAGGTAGCTATCGGCACCCAGTAGGGGGTATGTTAGTCCACCCATTATTGTCCGTTTCTGAAGGAGAAGATGAGGAAACGGGAAGAGTACGGGCTGGACACGACTGACCATGACACCTCCCCGCTAAACAAAATCCCAAAATCCAGAGACCCTGTCCTGTGGAATAGCATTTTGGCCTAGTAGAAATGTAAGTAATGTCAGTTAGATGCTCTCTCCCACTTCGCAATTTCCCGCTCCTTTCCCTCTCGTGAAATCTAGGTTCTGGACACCCTCACCTGCGTTGTGCCCGGCTCAACGTCGACGACTCTGAGAATCACTCCGTTTCTGTTCGCGAGATCCGTCGTCCTCGCCGTCACCTGATCTTCTGTCCCAGAGTTGTCCGCGGGAAATTGCTTCGTCTCCCAGCGCACGCCGACACTGGCGCCCAGCTTTGTCGCTTCATCGCCGTAGTCGGTGACGATTCTTCGGGGGTCCGGCAGGGATGCCATCATCGCTGACCTCGCATGGAGCTCTGTGCATGCTATGTCCGTTGCGTGAGGTCTCTGGAGGGAAGAGGCATTTGGCTAGATAAGAGATTTAACCACGTATGGTTCCGGCGTATTCCCGATATGAGATCCGGGAGCAGAGAAACCTGACGCTCGTGGCCAGGCTGCAGAGCTAAGACCTCGGAAGCGACTATTTCAGCCCACAAGTGGTGAGAGTGTCTGTGATGGAGTCTCGGATTGCCCATCATCAGCGATGGTCTTCGCGACTGATTTCCGAAACGGAAGGCTAGGAACTTTGTCTGGCCTAAGCTTCTCGCCTCCGCAAACCGAAGTAGCGATCTAGACAGAGGAATGCTCGCTAAAATGACTCTCCACGATTCTCGAAGAGAGGTCACCATCGATTTAGCGCGGTCCACTGTAATAATACAGATATGGGGAATGACGATTTGATATTACCCAAAGCGGACTACAGCAAGAGCCAAGTGGGGTAGGAAAGGAGCCTCGGCGACTAAAGGCTGCTCAGAAAAGGGGGCTACTACCGATCCCCCGCTGCCGATCTTCAGGACAGGCTCGGATCCGGCCAAATATCATGGCAGAATGTTCCTTTCCTGTTGCTCTTTCCGTGCAACCCAGGGAACCGCCTGAGTCGCCCAACCGATCCTTTCTTCGGATCAACTGAAACGAAGGCAGTCCATTCACAATGGTCGCAAAGTCGTTGCGCCGTCCTCAGAGGAAGCAGAACTCAAGCTGCAATGGCTGTCGCTCGTCCAGGATACGCTGTTATGCTTTGCCAGTAAGAGAACTCGTCGCAGGCGGAGGACTGTTGAACACTTCTTTTCGTGACAACCGCAGATGCACCAACTGTGCCCGGAAAGATTGTCCTTGTACTTTCAAAGTGAGTAACTCAACCATGCTTCTACACTTTTGCCCACTTTGCTCCATGGCCATAAGCATAATGAGTCGTTCAGTGGCTTCACACAGCAAAGCGCCGTCGGGTGTCGAACTCGGTCCTTTCTACCGCTAGTTTCGGGACTGAGGAGGGACGGACGCATCAAGCACCCGACCGTGAAGGGAATATCCAACAGATCTACTCGTTAGTATAAAGTCGCATTTAATTTGCCAACTTGCTGATCGGGCAGATCTCCTGAACAAGGAACACCTTCTCCGGGAGATGCATCTTCATCCAAAATTACCCAGGCCTTCAAAATGCGCGAGGAACTTATCGACTCCTCCATGTAGCATATCTTCTCTTCGATTTTCGAGACGGCCGTCCGGGTATGGCTCGGCAATGGCGGCTGCCCATACCTAGGGCTTCCTCCAGATGTAAGTTCACGACACCCTTTAATTATCCACAAAAGAATTGCCCTCAAGAGGTTGCACAGGGGTCGAGAACGATCATATCACGGCTGTTCGTGAGCTTGGATGAATGGAAATGTCCTTGCCGACAACACGGCCGCCAGGCAGATACTAGTCAGACCATTGCAGGAAGTGTTTGTGTCAAAGCAGACAAAGCTGTCAACCGGGCTCTAAATGCAGCTGTGCATGGTTTTAGTGTCCGATGGCTTCCACTGATTGCAGGCACAAGTATTCCCACCGAGAAACTGAATGAGCTGGCACGGAAGCTTTGGCGCAATGCACGATCCAAGATCTTGCTGATCTTACAACAGAAGCGCAGCTACAGATCGATATTGGCGCTGAATATATTCGGAATGACCCCGCTTCCTCCAGGCCTCGAAGAGCATGAGCTAGCCCACGGAAACATTGGCGAAGGTTGCATTGACATTGCCCTGCGACAGCTGCAGAGTGTCCGAACGTAATCCGCTTCTCTTCAGCGGCGATTGCTGTTGAACCCTTAACTGCCACAGCGTCAGACGATACATCATCCCATACAATTGACGAGGGTTACCAATTGCGAGAAACCATAGCGTACTGGGCTGGGTTTGTATTTGACACTTCGGCTTCGCCGACCACTGGGTTACCTTCGATACTCTATGCAAGCATCCTGGGGTTCGAATAGGAAAGAACCATATAGCTTTTGAAGAAGACCGCACAGGAGTTTCACGAGAAGACGGAAGACTGGAGGATCAATGGTTTCGGGGTGACCAACCAACGGACGATTGGATAGTCCAGTCAGCCAGCGGTTGGAAAGGCGTGTTTTAGAAAGCCGTGGTTTCGTTGCGAGCAGCTTTCAACTATGGGCATGAGCCGGATGTGATCTTCTGGGCACAAACGGCCGCCTTGCAAGGCATGCAACGATATGACATGACTTATGCTCCACTGCCTGATGCTTTCAAGCGGGCCCTACTCTTTCTTGACTTCGAAGCCTAACTCAATTGGTGTAAGTGCTCAACAACGCAAGCACTCAAAAGTAAACTGACGAATTTGAAGACCTTCTCGCTCTGCACTATCACCTAGCACGGTTGATTCTGTACGATACCCTGGATATCTTCGACAGAAGAGACTTGTTTCCGAACTCAGACAACTCGAAATTGGCCGCCGTACAGGAGACTGTAAGCATTATCTTGCAAGGTCTTCAATGCACTGTCTCTCTGCGAAATGTATTCGGCCTGACGCCAGCGGCTCTTCGTGACGACACGGTGACACTCCTAAGCGTTGACCCTTATCCACATCATGTGGCCACAGCCTTGAACCTTGTGTCAGATTTCTTGCAGAAGCGTTCTAGGGGGGCCCGGACCAGCTCTGAAGCTCTCGAGCGAATCCAAAAACTCTCAACGGTGGCATTCGATCAGCTCCCACAATGCTCGGCCTGCCCCCAAGCTTCCTGAATCAGCATAATCGCAAAATTGGAAGAGATACAACAGTTTTCAGACGGCCAGAAGCCTGGTAATGGCGAGGAGCGGGCAAATAAAAGCCGACAGCGGGAATCGCAACTCGAGAGCCATTACATCTGTGAAGTGCGCGAGGAAGAGTTTGTGGCCATCGACAGGTTTGAAATTGGCACTAAACACCGGACGGCCGGGAACGTTGCGAATAGTGGCGAGCCGCAACAGATGCCATCAGGATTTATTGATCAATGGGATTGGACATTTAGTGAGGACACAACGTTGAGTTTCGAAATGCTCGCGCACGATGCGTTCTTGTCCAATCATGGTCTTTTAGAGGTGAGTGGCAGAGTGCATGGATAGCGCTTAAACCGAACTGGCAAGAAGCTAATTTGTGTATGTTCAACCCTAGGACTGCTTCTTCCTCGCATAGCCGACGAGATAGAGAGGCACAGAGACTGGGGTTTCATCAACTCTTCACACCCCGTGTCGATTTTCGTAGTCTATTGATAAAGGCATCTTTCTGCTCTGCCTGCGACGCTGGGAGACATACTGGCACAGTGTGTCTTATGTAAAATGGAATGGCAGACTTGTCTCGCGAAGGCTATAGCATGAAGAACCCAATCTCATTCGAGCTTTGGAGGGCCGGAAAACTGTGGCGTTCCGTGGTCTCAGGTGCTGTTCCCAGGGTTGCTGACAGACCATCGTTGGTGCAGGGCTGGGCATGTTTGTGATGATGTTGCCAACTTGCCTCGATGCTGAAATGTCGAATTTGGCATTCCACTCCGAAGGAATCCGTTATTGCCAGGCACAGTCTCAGAGGTAGGCATATGAGTCAATTCTTCGTCGGCATCAACGTTTCCAAAGGATCTCGTAATTCGTATCGAAAGTATTGGGTTGTTGTTGAAGTCATAAGAATTGAAATAAGAAGAGGTTGTACAGTGGAACTAGACTGAGAGAAGAGCATCGGTCGCAACCGAGGCGAGATAATAAGAATTTGCACCGAAAAGATGTAGACGCAGTGTCGATATAGACTCATCGAGAACCATGGATAGAGCAGTGACAATCAACCGGGAGAAGCCACTCTGGGAGGACCATACCCTGTAATAACATCTTGCTCGATCGAACCTGGTGACGGTTTCACCATCCGGAATAAAATTCAGCTCTAGCAGTCCTGTGTAACCTCCCCCCCCCCCCCCCCGGCAACCCAAAACGCCGTTGTCGAGAACCGATATTAGTGTGAGAAACCCTATCTCTCCTCTGCTTGCCGGAAGATTCCAAAAGGATACGATCCCCGCTGAGATGGCTCTCAAAGAGACCCTCTTTTATAAACCCCTGGCGTACGTCGAGCGCACAAACGATCCGTGACTGTTGCTCATTGAACTCGAGAGGGAATCCGTCTCGGAGCCTCTCTCACTAGGTGTATTTCTGATTATGGAGCTGTTCGGCTGGCGGTTTGATGTGACGGAAGTAGAAGGCCGTGATGAGGATGAGGTGGAAGATGACTGGAAGAGGTTGGATGGACCGTTGGGCGTTGTGTTCATGGAGAGAACGGATTTGCGGGCAAAGAATGCAGATGCCATTTCGTCCGACAAGTCTTGAAACGCGATGTGCTTATCCAGGTAAAGGAAAGGCCAATGCTGTGAAGCAGTAACGTATCTTGATGATTCAGGGGAGCGCTGGGGACGGTAACTTTGTTTAAAGACAACTAACCTCGTATTGAAAGGCTGAAGAATGAGAGACAAGACAAGGGAGATCTTGGAACATCTTATACCACTGCTTCTTAGTCGGTCTCTTTGAACGCGTTGTCCTCATGGCGTGGCAGTGCCTGAGGTGAGTGCATGTCCAGCGGAAACACCTCGATACGGGCAGGATATCGTTGGGAAGAACGAATCAAAACGATCACCAGAATCGTGCGGGCCCTGGGCCTTCCATGTCCGCGACAAACCGACCATGATGCCAAAGCTGACCACATGCGACATCCAAGACCAGAGTGTGAGTGACGTGCACCAATGTCAGGACCCTTTTCCAATAAGGATGGGGGCAGAATCAACAGCACGAAAACAAGTCTCAAACATGGCACAAGCGCTGACAGGGCGCAGCAGGCGAAGAGTCCAGAAAGAGCAGAGATTGCAGTCTGTAGGGCTGATGGGCACCACACGTGGCAGTGGACGCATCATTGGATGGAGATGCCACCGCCTGAAAGTGGGGGCTGACACGCACAAACATGCCCCTGAGAGTGCAATCGGCGCGGTGAAGAATTAGGGAGTATACGGGGTGTCTATACCTATATAAGGAAAGACCCACATACCGCCCCACACCGCTGCACACCACCTGGCGCCGGGGAACCAGTCAGCCTCATTCCACGGCCCATCACTGACAACAGAAGCCAGAAACGATGACATGTGAATCCGCCCAACGCAAGCATTGAGATACGGTCAAGGAGGCCAAGGGCTTGGATCCGACCAAATCCCCCACCACGCCATCCTCATCGCTTTGGTATTGGTCTTTCTAGGACTTCCTTGCATCAAAGGTATGACTCGCGTGTCCCTTTTTCGTTACTACGGTACATCGCGTCAATCATGCGGTGCCTAAGCAATGCATCTTCAAAAGTCACTACACTGCCATCTCCTTCACCCATGACCGCATCCCAAGCCTTTCCCACATTGTACGCAAAGTCCGTGGCTGGTTCCACGTCGATCTCTTTCAGCTGTGCAGCGCCAGCGCCTGCTTTCACAAACTTGATCGTCGGGTGGAACATTTGAATATGGCCGTTGGGTCCCTCGAGCACAAGATTTCCTTTGGTCCCATTTACTTCCCAGTAAAAGCCCTTGCCCGTGTCTGAGATGCCACCTTGATACACGACCGTGGCGACAACTCCTCCCTGCTCGAGACATCCAGTCATGCGAAGTCTTGTCGACAGTCCTGAGGACCTTTCCCGAGGGATCAACAATGTCCATTGTCGGTCGTCGCGTCGCCAACTTGGCCTGCAAATCCGTCATCTCGCCAAGGACGTAGCAGAGGGCATCCATGGCATGTCCGGCCGGTATGGTGATCAAGTTGGCGCCATGCTCTATCCGGGCCAACATACCCGTCAGCGGACAACCCGATGAAACCTAGCCGGACAGGCGCCATAATCGATTGCGATCTGTTAGATCCAAACGAACACTTTCCAAGTGTCTGTCGTGGGTAGAGTTCTTCCTGAAAATTGACTCGCGACCACTGATATTCCTCAAAATACTCACGCCTCTCGATCGCGAACGAAGATGTTGTGACAAAATCGTCTCAAACAAAAGTCCGGCAGCCCTAATATATATGCATATACTAGTTCGAAACTACAAACTTAACTGAGCTCAGATCTTCGCGAACCCCTGCTCTACGGAAACGCGTTACAAATAGCGGCCAACAGTCTGATGGACTGCGTGATAGACTGACAACCCAAGCAACATGCGTCGGCTAAAGTCCTGCCCCAGAGTGACAATGGCAACTATGATGATGAGGGAGCCGGAAAAGGGTTTCCTGGACTCACATTTGACTCTTGCGGGAGAAAACACGCACACACTCACACTTGCCAAAAAAAAAAACACCGCACACCTTTTCCCTTCGTCCATCTCAAAATTCTCAGGTCGAGCAATCAAGAGCAGCAGTGGATGACAAATCCCTTTTATACAGCCTCGCGAGGCCGACTGGCGCTAGGCCAAACTCGGTACTTGGACCAACGTCAATTCTTCCCCAAAGTGACCGTGAGGACCGCCAATGTTAATGGACCAGGCTGTGGAAAGAACAGAGTGCAAGTCGTGATTTATTATTAAACGAACTTGACTTTCCTCAACTATCCGTTGTATGCGATACCATGCCATATTGGAGTTGGACGAGGATAGCTGACACCTGACCAATGCTCCTATGGTCGCCTCTCTGTATACCCCAAACTGGAACGAGAGCAGCGTGGAGATTCGACCGAATGCTTCTCCTGTATCATCTACGCATGAGAGAAACTGATCTTTTTGTCTGCCGTCCAGACGTTTTTCCACCGTTGCAGCGAATTGATCCTCTATTGCCTGACCGATCTAATACAGGGTATCTAAAATGGGGCTGTGCCCCGCTCTATGCATCTCATCGTAAGCTCGTCATATCACCGTGCAAACCCCAGGACCCTTTGCTGGACAGCCGATGTATCCGAGAGTCAATAGCCATGGACAGCTTCAGTCCAACCGGGGCCTTGGAAAAACTTCACACTCTTTGCAGAGTCCGTGCAAGCTTCTCGAGGATTGACAACACACCTAGAGAATACGTTAGCTGCAGCGATTGAAAGACTGCGAAAGTCGGAACTCACCAGTAACGCCTTGAGTCAATGTAGCCGATGCTTCGGTGCTTCTGGCACCCAATGTCACCGTTACAACGTCTTGGATCTTTCCAGCCTTCTCCAACCGGTGAGCCCAGTTGAAGACGTACTCATCCTCCCGCGAATTGCCAATCACCATGAGAAAGTCTGGGAACGGCACACCCTTCTCCCGGGACAATTTTTCGAGATTCTCGCCAATCATCTGGGCGGCTGATCCTTTGTGAACATCCATCTCCGAGATGTTGAGTCCATCTTCAATCGGTATCGCATTCACATTCTGTCCGCGGCAAGCGTCATTGATGTGATTGGCGCACTCGCCCGCCTGTTTGAAGGCCCCTTGCCGGTCCTCTGCTTCTGAGTAGTCAAATATCAACGAGGCATGCCGCTCTTCAACTCGGCTTCCTTCAATTCTTTCGACATAGTATTGAAGAATACTCTTGACCCCTTTCTTCCAATCTCGAACGTGCTCGAGATTGGTCAATTCCTGCCACTCATCTGTGCCCGGCTCCAGCACAAAGGCACCATTTTCGGCAATCATCCCAATACCACTAACTGGACTGAAGAGGCGTTCCATCTCTTCTGGCATTCTCGAGCTCATGACGTACACGATATTTTTCTTGTCCTCGATAAGATCATTGAGCACGTCGACCGATCTCTTGGGCGTGGTCAAGATAATATCAGTGGGTGAACCCCAGGAAGCCAAAGTCCCCTCGTAGTCGAGGATTATCAAGCGCTTTTTGGCTTTCTGGTACTTGGACTTCACAGAAGGCAACGACAGCCGGGGAACCGCGGTGGAATCGCGGACAGTGTGTTCTTTCCAGGCATGTTCCAAGCCCCTGATATAGTGCTCGAACCAACCAACCGCATTCTGGTGTACAACAATATCGTACAGGGCTTTCCACCGATTCTCCCGCTCTTCAAGTGACATGTCGAGAGCTTGTTTGATAGCGTCGGCACAATGGCTGTAATGCCATGGGTTGACCAGAAGGGCATTATGCCCAAACACCGTGGCGGATCCAGTGAACTCACTAAGAATCAGGGGGCCGTACTTGTTCTGGGAGATTTTACCGTCCTGGCAGAGTATCCACTCATGGCTCGTCAAGTTCATGCCTTCTCGCAAGCTAGTAATCATCAAACATTCTGCAACCGTGAGCAAGGCCATGTACTGAGAGAAGTCAATGTCTTGCTTCAGGAACACCAGCGGCTGGTGGGCCAAGGTCGAGTGGGTCGAGTTGACCCGAGTGACAATGTCGGCCACAGTAGCGCTTAGTTCCGGGTCTTCGGCAGAAGAGGTTGCAATTTGGATGAGCACGACTTGATCTCTGTATTCCGGGTATTTGTTGAGGAACAGCTCGTAGGCCAGGATCTTTTGACGGACCCCACGGATGCTATCCAATTTGTCCCTTGCCACGATGATCCGCTTGCCGCGATATTTGTCGGTGATGGTATGCACCCATTCTTTGACTTCTTTTGCTTGTCGCTGCAGGTCGATTGCTTTGGGGTCAATCCCAATAGGGCACGTGTTGACATGGACAAATCTGCCATCTTCGAGAATGACCCCATGTTTGGTGGCTTCGACGTTGAGAAGACGACTGCAGGTTTGGAGGAAGTGATGGCCATATTCGTCGTTCTGGAATCCAATCATGTTGGCACCCAACATGCCTTGGAGCAAGTCCGTGCGGACGGCGAGGCATCGAAAGATTTCTGACGAAGGGAATGCCGTATGCAAGAAGAAGCCGATCTGAGCTTCGGGGAGCTTTTGACGCAGTAAGCCGGGAAGGAGCAACAGATGGTAGTCATGGATCCAGATGACGTCGCCCTTTTTCCAATTCTTTGCGATGCGATCGGCGAATGCCTCGTTGACTTTGACATAGAATACCCAAGAGTGATCCTCATATGCCTTGCTCTTAGGATGGTCCGGGATTTGATAGTGGACCACTGGCCAAAGAATGGTCTTACAGTAGTGCTCGTAATGACCATTAAGATCACTATCACTGGCATAGACAGTCAGACAGTCGTAGTCATTTTCCAGCTTCTCTGCAATATTCTCTTTTAGGTGATCGTCAAGGGCGTCGACAGGGCAACCCAGGGTCCCGACCCAAGTCTTTTCTTCACATATTCCAGCATCAACAGCGGCGTCAATGGCGTTGTATAGCCCTCCGTTGCCGATGATGGCCTTCTCCACTGTGTAGCTGTCGTGTGAAAAGTGCCGTTCGTGGCTAACCGTCCTCGTTCTCTGTCGACGACCAAGTCTGTGTGCAGTATGGTGGCCGAGTGAAACAGCTCTCTCTTTGACTTCCTTAACGTCTTTGGCCATGACCACCGCATGCTTTAGAATTGAACTAGGAGGAGGGGACTTGGCTCGCGAGGGAGGTTGATTCCAAGTAAAGGTCTTCCCCCAGCCGGGCGAGTGAAGATCATGTCGAGAAATCGCTCGCACGGGGAGTGAGGCCTCTTGTTTGAGCTCGGGAAGATTCAGGCTAATTTTTCTCTCAGTATGTGGCCGGAAGATTTTCTCATGGTCGGTAGTTGCGCCCGGGGTCGGAGGAATAGGCCCAGGACTCTGGGAGAGATGGGAGCTGCTGCCCGCACCCGGGGTGAACAAGCTAACGGTTTGAGTCTCATTCGGGGTGTTCTGGGCGAGTGTTAACTGCGGTCTCAGAAGTTCTGGAGAGTCTGGCCGGGAGCCAGAGGCTGGAACGTCGAAGTTGATAGTATAGGGCAGAAAGAGGGTAGCAACAAAGATGGTCATCGTTACTGGTGGATGTTAGCGATGAGAGCTAGTGGCGTGACAGGTGAGGAATGTCAAGGGTAGGAGAGATTATTGGTAACAGCCCAATTGCTGTGAAATGGCTGACTGACGCTGTCTTTTTGGACAAATGAGGGATTGAAACAAAGACAGCGAGAGCGAAGGCGTGAGGAAAGAAGTGGGTGGCGGTGTTGGTGGTCGAGGACGAAACGAGGAACGCACAGCGACACGCTGTGAAGGAAACGACTGGTGCAGGTTCCAGCCAATTCTAGATCCCACGGATGGTGATGACCACGGAAAGAGAATGAGCGAACAGGGGGAAGGAGGGAGAATGGATATAAAGGTGAATCTGTGGTGGTAGTGGTGATGGGTTGGGTGGAACAAAAAAAGTGAGGTAGGGCAAGGGCGAGAAACTCCGGTCAATTGACTGATTGATCACGGACGGTGCAGTGGTACAGGACCCGTTCGTCGAGGGCAGGTGTGCAGAGTACTGGATCCCATGGTTTCCAGCATTATCATGACGATGGGCCGGAGAGAAAGAAAAGGATATGTGACGGTAGGGTAGAGCGAAGCGCAAACGCGCAAACACACGACTGGTCGTTGGAGCTGGCACTCGATGGCCGGGTTTGTTTGGGCGGGAAACGAACATTGAGGGGCGGGACTGGGCAGCATGACGCACGTGGTGGAGCCCAGCGACCTCCCCACCAAGCGGTCCTGAAGCCCCCAGGAGCCGGTTGAACAGTTACTGGTATTTCGGAGGCATCCCTCGCCCAATGCGCCCAACGCGCCCCAGGGAAGCCCCTCCACCAAACCCACAGCGCGTACTTGTACCAAGTAAGCTCCTACAAGTAGGTAAGCTGCCCAAACCAAGCCACTGGTGCCACCGCCCGGAACTGGGCGTCCCATTACCCATTGCAGCCAAGCGCATCAGCGTGTTCACCCTTCCACTGGCTCGGCATCTCATCCGCAACGCCCAACTCAGCATCCAGGCAGCCAGG